CCCCCCCCCCCCCTTCCAGTGCAGGGATAGGAGGATTTGTGGGATAGGTGGGTTCTTAAGAAATCGAAACTTTTCTTATATTTTGCTTTCCTTAAAAGGATGATGGTTCCGATATTTCGGTCTCTGGCCTGAGTTTTCGATTTGTCGTAACTACTGGTCTGAAGAGTTTTAGTGGATTATTTACACTTATTATACAATTCCTATTGATTTGCTTCTTCTATATTGCACATGGACAGTTTCCTAATAATGTATGATGCAGTTCATTGCAGTTATTCAAGCTATTTTATATGCGGGAAAACAGCTTCAGCAGTTTCACATTGATGAAGAGGATGACAATTATTCCAGTGAAAGTATGATTGGCTCCAAGCTCCTAAGAAAGCTGATTTTATCTGCTTCCTCCTCTGGTTTGATTAGCATTGCTGCAAAACTTTTGTCAACGATCAGCAAAGAAGCTGCAGATCAAGGGGACCTTCCTAACCTGATGATCATCAATAATGACCAATTTCCGAAGGTATGTACGTGTTCGACTCAAAATGTTTCACTGTCTACAGTCATTTTCTTAATTCTTTGCTGTTGTGCTCCAATGCATTCTGCTTTCTTTATCCTCTTTTATATTCTTAGTATAGTCTTTTCTAGGTTGCTAGAGCTCGGAAGGAGGCTCAATCTGCAAGAGAGAAATTGGATTCTCTGATCACCGTATACCGTAAGCAGCTTGGAATGCGGAAGTTGGAGTTCATTAGTGTGTCTGGAACTACGCATTTGATTGAGGTTGTTCATTTTAAACTAACATGTAATATATTATTGTGTTAACAGTTCAGATACAATTTTAAAAAGAATTGGGACTGGTACCTATTCTTAATTTCTTTTGTACAGTTGGCCTTAGATGTAAAGGTACCCTCTAATTGGGTGAAGATCAATAGTACAAAGAAAACTATAAGATATCACCCACCGGAAGTACTGGCTGCCTTAGACGAGCTATCATTGGCAAATGAGGAGCTCATGGTAGCATCTCGGGATGCTTGGGATGGCTTTCTAAGTGGATTCAGCAGATATTATGCAGAGTTTCAATCTGCTGTTCAAGCACTGGCTTCCATTGACTGTCTGTATTCGTTAGCTATTCTCTCAAGACATAAGGTAAAATTTTAATGTAGAAAAGCTACTTCAATTTTCATAATATGATGTTAAGCTGTAATTCCTTTTAACTTAAATTCATACAGAACTATGTTCGTCCAGAGTTTGTACATGTTGATGAACCTGCTCAGATAGTTATATGTTCTGGACGCCATCCGGTACAACTTTTTGCTTAACAATGTTCTCTACTCATTCAACTAAATAAACTTCTTGTCTTTCTTTCTGTGCAAGTAAAGGATGACTTTTTTGGGTTCCATATTTTTGGGATGATGCATTGAATATGGTTGAAATACCATTATAGATGTTGGAATTTGCATTTTCTTGCATGAAGCTTAACATCTAGAGATCATAGACAACTTTTGTTTCGTGGTTTCTATACATGTCTACAACATATGACAAAGCAGGTTTTGGAGAGTACATTACAAGGCAATTTCGTCCCAAATGACACGAATTTGGACGTGAATGGAGAGCATTGTCAAATTGTAACAGGACCAAACATGGGAGGGAAAAGTTGCTACATTCGACAAGTTGCTCTCATTGCTCTAATGGCTCAGGTAAATTAAACTGATCCACTTTTATCTGAAACCATATCAGACACACAGACATATGTATATCAATTTCTTTCAAGTTTACACTGCAAATGTTTTTTCTGATCGATGTAGGTCGGTTCCTATGTACCAGCATTCTCCGCGAAGCTTCACGTCCTGGACGGTATATACACTCGAATGGGTGCTTCTGACAGTATCCAACAAGGTAGAAGCACCTTCTTAGAAGAAATGACTGAGACTTCACATATACTCCATCATTCCACATCACGTTCCTTGGTCATAATTGACGAGCTTGGGAGAGGAACAAGCACCCACGATGGCGTGGCCATTGCATATGCAGCTTTGCATAATCTTCTCCACCACAAGAAATGTTTGGTCCTCTTCGTTACCCATTATCCTAAAGTTGCTGATATTACAAAGGAATTCCCAGCATCTGCAGGGGTATACCATGTCTCATATCTGACTTCACACGAAACGCCAAGCTTCTCAGGCCCAAAATCCGCTCAGGATGTGATTTACCTATATAAGCTCGTTCCTGGAATTGCGGAGAGCAGTTTTGGTTTCAAGGTTGCCCAACTTGCACAGGTAACTTCAATTATCCACCTATCCTGCGCCTAATTCAAAACGCCCTGTACTTATTGTGACCGTAGTTCTTTTTGGCTTTGTTATGTTTTTTAGATACCTTTATCATGTATTGCACGAGCCACAGAAATGGGGGTATGGTTAGAAGAAATAGTAACCAGAAGAGCACAACGCAAAACCAGAGAAATACATTTACAAGAAGCATCAGGCAAGGGATTGGAATTGGAAAGCTCCGAGTGCTTCCTTGAAGATAGAATTGATGCTTACGAGGAATTCTTTCTGTTCTTGAAAGCTACAATATGTTCTCCTGATGATATGGGGAAACGTTTCCTTCAATTTTCCCAAGCTAGAAGCATGGCCATGGACTTGTTAGGAAGGTAAAAACAGTCATTTAACCTCCATTACTTCTCTGTTGTACGGCTGTCTTGTCTTGCTTACTTCTTTTGTTTTAACATTAAATGGCAGGTGAATGAAATCACTCAACTTGGAGTGATGAATAAATGAGTTTTTTGGGTGAGCAGTGAGGAGGAAAATCTCTCTGGAAGAGCATTAGTTCAGTCTTATTTCATCTTATTAGTATTTTGTGTACAGAATTTTCCCTTCTTCGCAAAAGACAGCCCCCTCAGATGCAAATCTTTGTAGGACAGCACTACTATCTCCTACTGCTTTACAAAGGGCACAATATGAGTACATTATTTTGAAATCTAAACCAACTGAATAGAAACAGAGCATGCTCTAATACCACATTTACCAAGGCAGATACCCCTATAGACTGTCCTCTCCTACCACCCAAAAGGATCACATCTGAATCTGAACTAAAACGTCCATCCTGATGAGATAATGATGATTTAATAATAGTAATGATCTTCCAAGATAACAGAGATACAAAAACAGTAACCATGTGGAGCACTGAAATATAATTTACTAAGCAAAAAGAATATCGAATACTGACTGGCAGTGGTCAAAAAAAGGGGCTTCGGGGATAAAAAGTTTTGTAACTAGTTTGAAGTTTGATACCCAAAACAAATTATGCATTTTCTTAGACTTTTTGAGACAGAAAACAAAAAGGGGGCGAGGGGGTGTCCTACCTTACAGTTTGCAGATAACCAAGCAGCCCGCTCTTTTTTCGAATCTCATCTTAGAATTCGTACCTCCATTGTTGAGATTAACTGAAGCTTCGATATTCCCAAAAAACATATATGTTTGGTGCATTGATACTGCACCCTTTTACTCTCCCGTTGCAGTAGACGTTCCCGGAACCTCTTGCGGTTTCAATCCTCTGCTTCACTCGCAAAAAGTTATCGTAGTCGTCCACTTTGCACGGTGGTACATTTGAATCGAGCTGCGTTTTAAACTTGCAAATGGGTCCAATGTACCAATCGAAAGATCCAGAGAAGTGGGTTGTAGAAAATTTTGAAGGGGAGAGTTATAGAGGATATTACATGGGGGTCTGACACGTTTATATGCCTCGCGGGGGGTTTCTCAGAACACGTGGTTTGGAAGAATATTTTGTCGGAATCCTCCATTTTTTATATCCCCTTGAGGGAATTTGACTCTGAAATCAGGAACTTGGCGAGCCGGAAGAGAGAAAAGAGAAAGGGTTATTGAGATTGGCAACTGGGTTTCACCGGAAAGTCCGAGTATCTAGCTGAATGATGAACCAGAATTCAGAAAACTGGCTACCACCCGGCTGGACTGTGAAGGTCAAAGTGAGGAAGAGTGGCAAGAAGGATAAGGTACTGTTTTCATTTTCTTTCTCCTGTGATTTTTACTTGCATTTCATAGATCTTTATCTGACTTCGCGACTTTTATGTTCCACATTGCTGTTACAACTAGCTTTTGATTTCAACTTGTATAGATTCTTACTGATCTGAGTAAATGGCTTACCTTCTTCTTGCTCCTTTGGCTATGATGCTCCCATATAATCCTTGGCCAAGGTTCTATCTGCATTTTGAATCAACTAGTTCATCCCATTTTAGGCCCTTTCTGTTTAGTCTTGCGTGAAGCAGCAAACTATGGTATCTTTTTCCTTCAGAAGAGGGAACTACAGCTTGTAATATTAGTGCAACTTCCATTAATGACTTAACAACATAACATGCCTCTTCCTATTTTAATGTCTTCTAGTTATTTGCTTTTGGTATTCAAATATTTGTTTGATAACCATGAATTCTACTACCATTTGGATGTTCATATGAAAAGTAAGTCTGAATAAAGATCACAAAACTGATGGTAGCCAATTATGTTCTGTTTTTTTCATTTCAAGATAAGTAATTAGTTGGATCTTTGAGACTAATTCTAATGTTGCAGTATTATTTTGAACCCTCAAGTCAAATGAGATTTAATTCTAGGGCAGAGGTGTTTAGATACCTCAAAACTCCTGCAATCAATCATCCTGAATCTGAAGGGAGCAGAACCGTGGAGCAACCAGAGAACAATGTCTGTCAAGAAATCTACCCTCAACTCTTTCTTCTTCTTCTTCTTTTGTTAATCCCTTATTGATTTTTCTTTAAAAACTTGTATTATTCAAGCAATCTAGGTGGAAGTTAAGAAGACTATAGCAAAAGGGTTACCTCCTGGATGGATCAGAGAAATCAGAGTAACGAGGACTGCTAACAGAATAAGAAGAGATTCAGTAATTGATCATCTATTTCCTTTACGTAGTTTCGATTTGTCGTGATGTTTGGATTTTGGATATGGTCTCTAACTTTGCACTTTGTCTCATCCATATATTTAGTACCCAAAAGTTGGTGACATGCTAAACAGCATGAATATTAACAAATGAAACTTGTATTTGCAGTTTTACATTAATCCTGTAAATGGAAATGCGCTTCGCTCGTTGAGGGATGTACATCGGTATCTAACAAGTGGAAAGGTGAGCCGATTAGCTTATAAATCAAGGAGCCAGAGCAACAGCAACAGCAACAGCAACATTGAGTTTCAGCACGATGATATCTCTGTAAGTGTTCTAAATGGCTGAATTTTGGGTGAATTCGTCTCTTTTAAAATATGTACATAAATTTTGGCCTGTTATCATGGATCCCGAATCAATGAAACCCATTAATACTTTTCTAGCTACTTGGCAATCTGAAATCTCAGAGCTATGGCTGTTTGACACTACTGTAAGCTCTCTCAATCTTTCGAGGATTAGACCGACTTGAGATTTTTAAGGTTTCTGAAACAGTTTGGATATTTTCTTGCTTTTAAACCCAAAATGCAAAAAGAAATCTGTTTCAAACCGAAATTTGATTTCTCTTTTTCTCTTAGTCACCTTCTGTCTCCGAGAAAGAGATGCTAGCGATTGGCAAAGCAAAGAGACAGATTATATGGAGCGACAACTCACCGGAACCGAGTGAAATAGTAGATGATGAAGCTATTTTTCCAAAGGCTGCAAGTGTTGGGGAAAGAATGCCCTTTTTGAAACCTAATTTAACTCACGGTATTGTTCTGAACATGCAGCTTTAGTGTGACATTTCTCCATCACTTATAATATGTGCGTTAAGTAAGTAGGTAGAGTGGGAGTTCATGCATTTTGAACAATGAAGCTAAAGATTCCAGTTGCTGTTATGGAATGCTGTAAAAGTAGATTGATTGCTTTGAAAAATTTGTTTAACATAATATGTAGAACACATGTACAGTGCTTAGAAGGGTTTTCATTTTTGAAGATTCTGTATCTGATGTGAATTTAGAAACTACTGCAGGGAGGATAGGCGCTAAGTTGCACTGCTCAACTCCCGAAGAGGCAAAAGAACGTGAGCAATCAGAAGGAAAGAATAATTTTTCCGACTTTGTGCCAACTCCTGATAAATCCTTCCAACACAAGTGCACTAGTGAGAATGGGGCAACAAAGATTGAGAGTAGAAAGAGACAAAGGAAAAGTAAAGACATAAACTTGCGATGCCGTGCTTCAAAGCGACTTGCAGGGCTCCAAGCTGAGCCAGTGCTTGAAGCTAAAACTGGTCACCAAGCGTGTTCGATTGCATGTGAAGAGTCTGATAAGCAAGTAGCCAGTACAACTAAGTGGCCATCTCAAAGTCCTGAAAATCCTGATGTCAAGCATGAAACAAAGAGCATAATTGACCCTCCTAAGATTGACACAAATCTAGATTCAAGTAGAAAAGAACATTCTGCTGTTGACTTGTCCATTCTGCCTGAGAAGGTTAAGAAGATGAAATCTGAAGATGCATATGAGCTGCAGCAGCCGAAATGCAATTCCTTTCTGCCTTCAGAGGACGTTCTGGAAAAGCATGTAGGGCAGGTGGAAAGTGATGATAAGGCTGATGTGAAAAAACAAGGCACTCTTCTTAAACTGCCTATGGAGGACTTACTGACTGATCCTTGCATTGCATTTGCAGTTAAAACGCTTACTGGAGACGTTTTTGACGCATCCATAAGCTCAGAAGCATCACTGATGCCAAACAATATCGATCGGCCTTTCGTGGCCTTTACTCACTTGGAATCAGAAAACAAGCTTAATGAGAAGTTGCCATCTCCAGAACTTCCTGTTACTCGAGTTGGGAAAGTCGAAAATAACAACATTGTTGAAAAGCTAGACTCGACTCTGAAGCTGCCAGTTGGGGAAATATGGGCGGACCCTTGTATAGAATTTGCTATTAAAACTCTTACTGGTGAGATCCCACTTGTTAACAATCCAGATATTGAGGATTACTTTCACCAATTTGCCCCCTCAAAAACCGAAGGAACTAACGCAAATGCCTCGAATCATGTTGGTTCGTATTAGTTACAAGACTGTGCTAGCCAGAAGGGGCAGGTTATTCAAGCACTGGAGGCATCTCTTAAGACCAACTTCTGAAGCTGTGGCACTGGTTTGCACCAACAAGAAAGCAACACTTTCAAAGGCTAATACCAACTTTATAACTTGTATAGTTTCGGTTGGCTGCATAGAAAAGATAAACGTCCTTGTTTACTTTTTCTTTTTTTCTTGTTTTGCTAGTTTTGGTCAGCCAACCCTCTTTTGCTTAAGTTTTGTACCTTGCCTCCTGGGCAACGTAATGTGCTTGTGTGATATCTCCACACACAACTTGATTTTGATTTGGTTGTAAGTTACCGTCAGTAGTAGACCTTAATATGGTGAAGTTGTTGTTCGATCTTGTTAAGTATGCAGCGTTTTTTTAATGGATACTTCGAGCAGAGCTCAAGTCCAAATGATGTTCATTTTCCAATCCGTTCACAATAACAAATACTGCCAGCTTCGAAATGTAACAACTTTATAAGACTTAATGATGACAAAATTCAGACCACTTGTATGAAATATGGTCATCAACCAAGAATGCCTATGAAAACACTCACAGTTTCAGTGGGAATTCTAAAGCTACCAACTAGCTCTTGAATCAAGATTATGTTTCATTTTGCAGTAAAGCTAGATAACAGGAAGCCAGATTGTGCTGACGCTCTCAGACAGGAGGGTGTAAAACGAATTAGGGGCCTCTAACACCTGTCAATGAGAGATAAACATTCATCACAGTAAGTACCAAAAGTCAATGGGCTCTAATATTGAAGTGTTTCAGCTTGATTTTCTAAGTTCTACGCAGTTTAAGAATGTAGAATGTTTCAAATTCGACCTAAGCAGAATCGAGACCAGCCCCACCTGCTCGAGCTCTCAATATTTCGGTTCTCTTACTTCTTTCCATTATATCCACCAACCATTCAACACTTTCCTTTATCCCCATCCTGTGATCAAAAGAATGAAGAGTTTCAATTTTCTAACAGCTTTTCTGCGGCAAAAGATAATTTAATGGATGAAAAACAGGGCATAAACTGGCTAACAAAAGACCAATTTTCAAGTACTTGAATGGATACAAACTGGCTATATTCACGTACCCATCATAGCCAGAAACAGCTTCAAACATGCAGACTCTTTCATCCAATTTTTTAAGATCAAGATAACGAGAAAGCTCTTCCGCTGATACAGCTTCAGGAAGATCCTGCATCCATGCATTCAATGATACCACAGCTCAAAATCAAATGTAAAGAGGAAAATGCAAAAATATGACAAGAAATTTGATCTTGAGAAGAAAGTATTATTTTCCCAATATATGAATGAATTGTTCATAGTTTCATGTTCTATATAGTTTTCCTTTTCTAGGAAAGAGGTGTGCAGAAAAGGAAGTGGTTCTGACCTGCTTGTTTGCGAAAACCAAAAGTGGAGCTCCTTGCAAATCCTCGTGTCGAAGAACTTTCTCTAGGAAAGAAATCCAAAACAATATCAATGCATCATATTCATCAAGTTTAGGTGGTTCCTGCAGCAGTAGAACCCTGCAGCTACCAACGTAATTAACGTATGGCCATCCTATATCATCACCTACCCATTGCAGATTTGGAATCTTCAAATTTCGATGGACAAGCAGCATCAATTACATAGATCACAGCATGTGCCTCTTCATAATATTTTTCCCAAATAGACCGAAGGCCAGGCTGCAAATAATTTCAAATGATGAAAAAGACGAACTAAGATAAATAACATATGCATACATGATTTTATATAACAAGACCTTTGCTCATTATACATACCTGACCTCCAAGATCCCAGAAGACAAGTTTTGCATTCAACACCTCAAGCCGCCCAATATTGAGTCCAACGGTTGGCACAATCCGATCGGGGGAGAGACCTTCTAAGTTCGAGAATAAGGACTTCAACTTCTCAAGCAAAGTCTGCAGCAAAAAGTTCGTAAGCCTAGAATAGTGGATGGGAAATATGAGGAAATAACTAAGCTCAATGAGTCAAGAGGGAAGAGGATTACTGTTTTCCCCGCCTTGTCAATTCCTAGGATGAGAACATGAAACTCTGTCTTACTAAATATGTACTTCCAGAGGCCATAAAATAAAGAGAACATTGTATCTTTTCAGTTTGCTCGGATATTAGTTTCTCTTAACTCTTGGGGTCAAACTTCATAACTTCAAACCTCCTTTGGCCAATTTATTCTGCAACTCCAGAAACAGGATAGAAATGAATAGCAAAGTAAATCAAATAAAACATAGCCCCACTTAGATTTTCATCCTATCAGTTTACCAGATTGTTTTCTCAAAATGTAAGTCTGGTTCCATGAGAATTCAAAGTAAAGCTTAGAAATTCAAGCAATCTACGAAAGGTTTTGCAAAGTCGATGAAAGTTCAGATATGAAATAGTATTCAAGCCTACACAAAACATTACTGGAATTTCAAAAGCAACTACCATTGAAATGTGTTTGTAATGGAAAAGAGAAAATAGAATACTAGACTCCCTTGCACCATCAAATTCTAATGCATAACATTCCCACTGAAAACTCCATACTTGAATACAAAATCAGAAAGGGGTTCTTAATAGTGATCCGTAACATCGCATCTACGAGCCGGAGAAATCTTTTCAGGGGCGATAATCAGCATATAGTTTACCAAAATTCGGATCCGCGAGCTGAAAGTAAACAATCGAGCAACATATTCCAAATGGTGAACCATATGTTCTATCAAGGATGGAAATGAGGAGCAAAAAGCATGTGCTAAGAATCAAAATCAACTTCATACGAGATGCTTTGTTACTCGAATAGTAAGATCAAACATCGAGCGCCAAAAACAATTACGGGACGCGGGAGAATTCCATCATGAAAAAAATTGGAAATGGAAAAATGCGCAGTTGAATTTCGGCGATCGAAAGCTAAACCATGGCAGTAAATGGATCAGATCAGGCAATAAGAGGAATTAACCCATTACAAATTCGGATCGATAAAACAGATAGGAAGTCGGATTCATACTCTTGGAATGAAAGGATTACTGAAAGAACTGCCGCTAGTGTACGGCCTTCCCCTTCCAGTGCAGCAAATACGAGCTCTCACCGCCTGAAAATTACCGGAGCTCTGTTTTTCCGTCCAAGAATTATAGAACTACCCTTCTAGAGGACGCTCTGTCTCGATTTCTCCCGATGCCGCAATTGCAAAGCAACGTTCTCTTCTCCCAATACCGATATTGCCCCCGCCAATTTGGCCATAGGGTATGTCGTTTGATTCCTTATTTCTAAATAAATAAATATAATTCGAAACTTACTCAATCATATAATATGTTTCATTAACCTAAAATTAATTACAATTTTAACCGATCAACAATATGTCACATTTTTTATAACATAAAGTAAAGAATATGATTATTTTAGTATTACTTATATAATATACCTTATGCTTCATATTAAATATATTATTAATACTAATCACACGTGGCATGATACCACAGGATAATTCAAAACGACTGCACCAGAAGCACATCACATAGAGCCAAAACCCCTTAATTTCGTTAGTTTAAAGACGATGCGTTGAAACCGAGAGAGTCACCATCAAGCGACCTCACGCGCCGCCCGGAAGGACGGGTGTTCCTCTACGGTGTCGGCCGTGAAGGCCTAATGCTCAAAGCCCTCTGTATACGGCTAGCTCATCTCGGCCTCTCGTCGCACCAGGTTGGCGACATGAACGCGCCGCCAATTTCAGCTCCTGACCTCCTGTATACGGATTTTCGACCGTCGATGCGATTTTCTCCGAGGCCAGATCCAACGGCGATAGAGTTTTGCTTCTGACTGTCTAGACGGAGAGCGGCTCGTGTGTTAATCACGCCGATGTGATTTTCTACGTTCCGGCGCAGAGCATGGCGGACGATGAGGAATCGATGACGGCGGCGGTGAAATGGCAGTCTCTGCTTCCGATGGGAAGTTCGTATGAAGGAGCTCTGTTTGTTTTGTTTGAAATGGTGGTATATCAACAGGGTGAGGCGTTGGGAGAAAGCCCCGAGACCGTCCGATCACGCCACACCAATCTTGAATGAATGGATAGATGGATCAGATTCAGTTTTAAATTTATATAAAGATCTATTTAGTTATAAAGTGTTTTAAAGCTAAGTGAATGAAAAGGCTAATTATTAGCATAATTTTGGAGATAATCCGATTGTGGATAACAAAATGACAACTCAAATCCATACACGTGGAGACAGATAACTGGGTGGATTTTTATGAGTCCAAAAGTAAATAGTTTGACTATAATAGGATTAGCATCCTAAATGAATGTTTGTTTGAAATTCAATTGTCAACCACTCCTTAAAAGCTTGCTTTATCCATCATTGATTGATGCCTAAGCGAACATAGAATAATTTTTTACGTTTATATTTTAAACTTATCTATATTAAACAAAATCAATCGTCTAATAATCTTTACGATATATTTTATTTTCTAATTTAATTATTTAAATATATATTTATTTTAAAGTTAAATATTACTATTTAAATATATGATTAATATAAATATAATTTGCTATATATATATATATATACTTTATTTTAAATACAATACAAGTTACAATTTTGGAGGCAAATAAATGAGGGTGGAAACAAAAGAAAAAAAGTAAATAAATAAATAAGGAAATTTGTCAGAATCCGCCAACTGGAATAAAAGTCAGATCTTTTTGTTTCTCACTATTCATCTTCTAAAATATCTCTCTCTTATCAGTATTTAATCCATCCAGATATTTTCACCGCTCTCCTCCAAGCCCCAATCTTCCCCACCTTCTCGACTACACTTTTGTTCCCTACTCGCTCTCTCCTTCCTCCACCTGTCCCCCAAATTATTACTCTCTTTTTCCCTGCCATATACTCCCAATCAATAAACACAAATTCATATAATTTCGGGTTAAATTACACCAGATTCATTTTATTTCTAATATTTTAAGTAATATATACAATAAAGTTTGTAAATTATAAAATACATTTTAGATTTTTATTTAATCAACCAACACGGAAAAATGGAGGATTTAATTATGATGGTATTATGATTATTATTTTTTTTTAAAAAGTACGTGTGAGAGAAGGAAGGCGAGTAGCGAAAACGCTTTATGTGTTAATCTGTACTCGCGTTTGAGAGAGGGGAAAAAGGGGAAGGCAGCGAAAAGGAGAGGGGAACCTATGGGCTCTTCGCTAAAGCGGTCTATAAAAACCAACGTAATTAGCCCCACGAATCGACACTCACTCCCAAACCCATCGGAAAAGTGCATTTTATAATTCTTCTCCTTCTTCCAACTCCTGTTTGGTTCTTGATTTCGTATACTCCTACCCATGGAGTCGCACGTGCAATTCAGCGAAACGAAGCCGTTTTGGACCAATGAGAAGCACATGCACTTCTTGAATTCCATGGAAGCTTCTTTTGTGCGATCAATGTTCAAAAATCGGAACTATCGCCGCCGTCTACAGCTGGACCGCCACCTGTCGGACACCGCAGACTCAACCCTAGATTCGCCTCAGAAGAACAGAAAAAAGCATTCCATCTCCGGTGAGTTTAATGTTAGCGTTTTTTGTCAGTCATTTTGTACGCCTTTAAGCCTTGTTTGGATGCACGAATATAATGAACGCAAATAATAGGATTAGGGTTGGAGTAGTTCTTGGTTAACGTTAAAGACGCATTCTTTTCCTATATTTGGGGGTTTTTTTTTTTTTTTAATTTTATTTTGACTCAAATGGACCAACCAACCAAACAGCGCCTAAACAACACGACTAAAGCGGGAATAGTGAATATTCCCTGTGAAGATATTTATGTGTGATTTATATATCACAATAAAAATCAATTTCCCTTTTTGTAATGTTCTTTTTTGTTATTTATTAATTTATTTTCTTTTTAACGACTTACGGCTATGATCCAGTAGGTACCAGAATGGACGGTAGATCTAGCAGGAGATCAAGACGGATACCATCTCTACCGCACACTTCAATTCAAGATCAGGTCATTATAAATATGTGCAACTCTCTTGTCTTTATTTCCTTTTAATCTTATCTTTTCCAATCAAAATTATGCTCTTTTTGCGGCTTATTTCAGCATTTGTTGTAATGCCACGTGGATATAAACTAATAACTTATTTAGGTTTAATTAAATTTAAATACAATTTTTTCTCAAGTAGTTGATATTTTAAACAATAATATAGATATTTATAGTTAAATTATTAAAATAAAATGGCATGCTTATGTGGTATGGCAGGTGGTCCCACAGATGGAAGAGAGAGCAGTTGAGGATGAAGATGAGAGAGACCATCCCATGTCACCTGTCAACTAATAAATATAGTATTAATTATTATTATTATTTCAGCTGCATCTTTTTCCCATTTAGTTTCTTCATTTAATCCTCGTGTCTTTTCACTTAGTTTATTAATCTTCAATTAATGATGGGAAATGAGTGAAGGCGTTAATTTAATTGGCTACCTCAGGTAGGTTAAATACAATAAACGAAGAAGAGGGTGAAATTGTAAATAAAGGGAATATTCAAAGATATATATATATATATATTTTTTTTAATATGTTTTTTATTTTCCAAGATCATAAAAGACCATGTGGGGTTATAGCAATAGGAAAAGGGAGTCCATCGCCAACTCTGATTGGGAATATACTATAAGATAATATAATATAAATGATAGTATAGTGAAAGGAAGATATTTTATTTGGCAATGTGGGGTTGATTTGATTATGATTGGTTTGTTTTTTTTTTTTTTTTTTTTTTTTTTTTTTTTTTTTTTTTTTTTTTTTTTTTTTTTTTTTTTTTTTTTTTTTTTTTTTTTTTTTTTTTTTTTTTTTTTTTTTTTTTTTTTTTAAATCTTTTTTTTATTGGGTACAATGGAAAGTCATAAGAGTGAATGTGGATTATGTGGGGATAATGAAAGGGATTCATGAATATAAAGTTTGTTGCCTAATCTTATCTTATATTCATAGGGGCACTTGTGGAAAAAAAAAACCAAAAAGACACTGGAAGTGAACCCAAATAAAGTGGACCTTGGGCCGAGCCGATTTAAGCCCAATGTTGGAGAAATTAAAAATAAACAAATAAAAAGAATGAAAATCTACGTGGCCGCCTACGTGGAATGATTTGGACTTGGGGTAGCCTTTTTAGAACGACGGTGACAGCTTAGATGTTTTTTTTTTTTTTTTTTTTTTTTTAAAAAAAAGAAAGGCGTAGCCTTTCGAGGAAGTTTCTCAAATCGCCGCACATTCTATTTCTCGTCGCTTCCAAGATTAAAAATATCTTTTCGTTCTCTTCCACGAAGCTTCTAGAATTGCAATCCCTCCAATGCCATTAACGGAAAATTCGCACATAGAAGCTTTCTTTAGGGCTTGGGACCTGCCTGCGATCATTCCGGGATCTGATTTGGGTGATTCTTGTGGCGTCTCCCATGGGAGAGCCGAGCGCCAAACCGTCGCCTAATGGAGGCGATTCACAGAGGTCTATGCCCACTCCTTTCTTGACCAAAACGTATCAGCTTGTTGACGACGAGACAATCGACCATGTCATTTCATGGAACCACGACGGATCTACCTTCATCGTTTGGAACACCATCACTTTTGCTACAGATTTGCTGCCGAAGTATTTCAAGCACAATAACTTCACTAGCTTTCTCCGCCAGCTTAATACTTATGTAATCAATCCTCTACTGGATTTCAATTTCGTTGCTCTTTCCTTCCAAGCCATGGTGGATTTGTTTTTTGATTGCTGGATTTTTATTTTTTTTTCAGGGATTTAGAAAGGTTGTATCGGACCGTTGGGAGTTCGCGAACGAGTGTTTTCGCAAAGGTAAGAAACAGCTTCTTTGTGAGATTCAGCGTCGGAAGTTTCACACTGCGTTGCCGTCCACGACTCCGCCTCCGCAACTACTAGCGGTGACGGGCAATTCTTCTAGTGAAGAACAAGTGATTTCGTCTGATGAGACTCCGACGAGAGCTTTTGCAGAGCTGATCGATGAGAACGATCGGCTTAGAAAAGAGAAAGCAAAGCTTATCAAGTTTATGCAAAACTGTGCCTCACACTATTGAGGACATATTCTATTTATATTGGCAAAAGATTAACTAATAGATCCGATTTCATAGGAAACTAACGAAGTAAGCCTATTCTTATGGCATGACTAACTTCAAGCTATTCTAATGGATTGACCAATTCTAACAGTCCCCTTCAATCCCAACAAGTCTTGTACATGTTGAGATTGTTACAATGTGTAGTAAAAGGAGTTTTAGACAGTGGTTTTGTCAGGATATCAGCTACTTGATCACTTGATGAAATGAACCGAACTTCCATTGCTTTACGTGCTACTTGTTCTCGAACAAAATGAAAATCAACTTCAATATGTTTCGTTCTAGCATGAAATACTGGATTTGAAGTTAAATATGTAGCTCCGAGGTTGTCACACCAGAGGCGAGGAGCCTTTGATTGATACACGCCCAGTTCCTTCAGTAATGACTTGATCCAAATCATTTCTGCAGTAAGATTCGCAATGGCCTTGTATTCTGCTTCGGTGCTTGATCTTGACACTGTAGCCTGTTTTCTGGAACTCCATGAGATTAGATTTGCTCCAAGAAATACAGCAAAGCCGCTAGTTGAACGTCGATCATCGGGACAACCAGCCCAATCAGCATCAGAAAACCCCGACAACATCATGGTTGATTTCTGAATTTTCACTCCTAATGCTAGTGTGCCTTTAACATAACGAAGAATTCTCTTCACAGCACCCCAATGAGCATCAGTAGGTGTATGAAGATATTGACACACTTTATTGACAGCAAATGCCAAATCAGGCCTAGTCATTGTCAAATATTGTAGTGCTCCCACTGTACTTCTGTATTTGAATTGTTCTTCAGCTGATAAGGGTATTCCTTGTTCTCTGAATAATTTTTCAGCAGAACCCATTGGTGTAGACATAGGTTTGCATTTTTCCATGTTTACTCTTTTCAACAAATCTAAGGCATATCGTCTCTGTGACAGTATGATACCATCTCGTGTTTTCTTGACTTCAATACCCAGAAAATACTCAAGACCACCCAAATCTTTTACTGCAAAATCTATTTTCAATTTCTGAATCAACCTTTCGGTTGCTTGATCAGAGGAGCTCACAATAATTATATCATCAACATAGATGAGCATATAGATAGTTATCTCTCTGCTTTTGAGAATAAAAAGAGATGAATCAGCTACTGAAGCCTTGAAGCCTAACTCAATAAGTTTTCCAGTCAACCTTGAATGCCAAGCTTTTGGGGCTTGTTTCAGGCCATAAAGGGCTTTCTTGAGCTTGCATATGTAATTCTTTGGTTTGGCTGAGTCTTGAAATCCTGGTGGTTGTCGCATGTACACTTCCTCTTTCAGAATTCCATGCAAAAATGCATTTTGGATATCAACTTGTCTCATATTCCAGCCCTTGGTTACTGCTAGCGAAAGAATGACCCTGATTGTTGACGGTTTGATCACAGGGCTAAAAGTATCAGTGTAATCAACACCAAATCTTTGCTTGAATCCTTTGGCAACTAATCTTGCTTTTAATCTTTCAACTGACCCATCTGCTTTTCTTTTCACTTTATACACCCATTTACTATCAATGAGATTTATTCCAGGTTTGGGTGGAACTAGATCCCAAGTGGCATTTCGTTTTAGCGCTGAGAGCTCATCATTCATTGCTCCTCTCCATCTTGGATGTTGCATGGCTTCCTGCAGGTTTCGAGGTTCAGTAGCAGTCTCTATGATCGGAGTTGTGATAGTTACAGCGCTTGCGAATTTTCTTGAGGTTTCTGAATATCTGATAGTTCCATCAGTGAATTGTTTAGCTTGTACAATGTTATTTCTCAACCTTGTTCGCATTGGATGTTGACTAGCTGCTTCAGTTGGTTGATCAGACACATGTTCATGAGTTTGGTTTTGAGCATTGATCGAACTGCTCTCAGCTTCATATTCTGCAATTTCCTCTGAACTTCTTGTATTATCTGCAGAAGATAAGCTGACACCAGACAAGTTGTCACTAGCAATATTATCAGTTTGACCATCATTCATATGGGAATTACTAACAACTGGTTCAATATCTGTAAGAGCATTTTCAGTGTAAAAACTAGCAAGTTTGGCTAAGGCTGGAAGTAGAACAGGATGATGTGGATTTGTGGTTTTGTTTGGTGGCTTAGATTCTTCAAAAGGAAAAATATTTTCATCGAAAACCACGTCTCTAGAGATGTAAATACGTCCTGTACTTCTATTTAAGCATTTATATCCCTTATGAGAAGAACTATAACCCAAGAATATACATCTAGTAGTTCTGAAACTCAGTTTCTTGTTGTTGTAAGGCCTTAAATTAGGCCAGCAAGCACAGCCAAACACCCTAAGCATGGAGTAGTCTGGACTTTTACCAAACAATTTATGAAGTGGTGTGTCTTGTTGTATGGTTCGGCTGGGCATTCTATTTATAAGAAAGCAAGCTGTGTTGAAAGCTTCATCCCAGTAGGATAGAGGCATGTTGGCTTGAGCGAGTAAAGCAAGGCCAGTTTCTACAATGTGTCTGTGTTTTCTTTCGACTAACCCATTCTGCTGGTGTGTGTGAGGACAGGAGATATGATGTTCAATGCCTGTGGATTTGAAATAATTGTGTAACCGATGGTATTCACCCCCCCAATCTGATTGGACGGAGCGAATTTTGGTATTTAGCATAGTTTCAACATGTTTTTGAAATTGAAGGAACACAGACTCAACATCAGATTTGCATCTCAGAAAGTAAATCCAAACATAACGACTAAAATCATCAACAAAGGAAACATAATATTTGGAATTATTTACTGACGCAATGGATGGACCCCATACATCAGTGTGAATTAATTGAAGGGGTGCTGTAGATACATGCTGAGAAGAACCAAATGGCAATTGATGTGCTTTCCCTAATTGACAAGCATTACAAATTGAGGAAGAGGGAATATTAGTATCTATAGCTAAATTATTATCTTGTAGAATTCTAATGGTAATTGGAGATGCAGGGTGCCCTAGCCTTCTGTGCCATTGTTCTTTCGAAAGTTTGGCTGTCAGCAAGGCTTGACTGAAATTATGCGGTAGAACGTATAGGCCATTCTTACATCTACCGTGGAGCAGGAGTTTCTTCGTGACTCGGTCCTTAACCAAAAAATAGTTTGGGTGAAATTCTACAACAGCATTATTATCAGATGCTAGTCTTTGTACTGAAATTAGGTGCTTATTGATTTTAGGAACATATAGGATATGTTTCAGAACAAGAGATGAACCAGAAATTAATGAATTCCCAATATGAGAGATAGACAAACCTGCGCCATTTGCAACCTGAATTTGGTCGGTGCCAGTGTAGCGTTCTCTGGTGGTAAGCCTCTCTAGGTCATTGGTGATATGATCTGTGGCTCCAGTGTCAACATACCAGTTTGTGTCACTAGTGTATCCACTTGTTGCCAAAGCTGCTTGTTTGAGATTATTTTCGGCTTGATATGCCTGATCAAATCTGTGCCAGCATTGCAAAGCATCGTGATTGGGCTTACCACAAATCTGACAGACAATGCCTGAGCTGCTTTGTGTCTTTGATGGTTGACGTCCAGGATTGTTCACAGTACGCCTTGATTGTCCATGACCACTATTTAACTGACGACTACGACCGCGACTACCTCGACCTCCATTGGCACCTCCACGAATGGATATCCTATTGACATTGTTAGCAGATGAAAGTTGCTCAAATGTACCCTTACGCAAGTGCCGCATCTCATAGCTCAGCATGTGAGCATACACGTCGCTGACAGTGTATACATCTGTTCTGGTTGTAATGCTTGTGACTAGAGGATCATAATCTGGACCAAGTCCTTGCAGCATGTAGGCGATGAGTTCTTCATCCTCTATTCGCTTGCCAATGGCAGCAAGTGTATCACCAAGATGTTTTACTTTACGAAAGTAGTCAGCAATTGTCATGTCCTTTTTCTGGATAGTAGAGAGTTCCATACGGATCTGCATTGCTCTTGCTCGAGATGTGGAAGCAAATTGTCGCTCCAGCGTAATCCAGGCTTCTCGTGCAGTGGTGATTCCAACCATCGTGCTGAGAACCTCCTCAGTGACTGATGAGTTGATGAGGCTGAGTACCAGCTGGTCCTGGGGGTACCAGACTGTGAACTCAGGGTTGATGATAATTTTGCGATTCCCTGTTTCTTCACTTGGTTCAACGGCGATCGTCTGGCTTGGTGCAGGCATGGATCCATCCACAAAACCAACAAGGTTTTGGCTACGCAAGTAGGGAAGGATTTGGGTAGACCACAGTAGATAATTTTCTTGTGTAAGCTTAACACTAATCACCTGACTGATCGACGGAGAAGACATTGTGTTGTTTGGGATTGACATGTCTAACAGCAGAGGCTATGGATCTCGTGGATCTTATTTCGGCTCTGATACCATATCAAGTTTATGCAAAACTGTGCCTCACACTATTGAGGACATATTCTATTTATATTGGCAAAAGATTAACTAATAGATCCGATTTCATAGGAAACTAACGAAGTAAGCCTATTCTTATGGCATGACTAACTTCAAGCTATTCTAATGGATTGACCAATTCTAACAAAGCTTACGGAACAATTGGTTGAGATGAAATCTCTGTGCAACAACATCTTCTCGATGATGTCGAGCTTTGTTGAATGTCAATTCAAGAGCAGTTTCAAAGTGAGAGACAGCGTTTTGACACCGGCAAAATCGCTCGATCTTTTTCCAGTGAAGCGGCCTTCCGGCGAAGACGAAGCGGCAAAGACGAATCAGATCGGCGCGGCCATCGGAGCGAAGCGGCCGAGGGAATACAGAGAGTGGGCGACGGCGATAGCGGAGGACGATACTACTTTGCGACTCCAACCACCGGATAGATCGGAAGTCAAATCAGAGCGGGTAAATTGTCATAATAAAGTTGATGACCAGAACACGTGGCGTAATAAAGTCCACTGAGAGTCATCAAATGGATCTGTAATTAACGGCTAGGATAATAATGTATCGACTTTTCAGGTTCTTGTCAAGTAAAATCAGAGATGCAGGGAATCATTCCATCCCCAAATCTGGAAAAAGATGGCACGTGTGCCGCCATTACAGGGGGCAAATTAAGAAAGTTTCAAAGCACATTAAGCGTTACTGAAACTTCATCACCATTTTCTCCTCAGCTTTAGATTAGATTAGCAGCAGATAAAATGTTAACACAAATGTGAACATTTTGAGCATATACTCCTAAATACTTCTTTACAGTGTTATTCTCAGCTGAAAGTAAGAACCTTTCGTGTTACCCTTTACACATCTTTGATCCCTTTAAGAAACTTCAATACCTGAAGCATGGAAGGTCTGTTAGCAGGATTTTCTGATAAGCAAACCCAAGCAATCTGAAGGGTTTGAAGCATCATATGCTTGGAATCAGCATTCAGTACTGTGGCGTCAAGAACGTCTGCAGCCTGCCCCTTGTTGATCTTCTGAAACACCCAACCAACCAGGTTTCCGCCCTCAATCTCTTTAAAGTTGGGCCCTGTTGGTTCCTTCCCAGTTACCAATTCCAGTAGGATTACACCATAGCTATAAACGTCCCCCTTTGTAGTAGACCTCCCACTCTGCCCGTACTCCGGTGGGATGTAACCAAAAGTTCCAGCAATCTCAGTTGTGACATGAGTCTCACAAGCACTGATCAGTCTAGCCAACCCGAAGTCGGCAACTTTTGGTTCGAAGTCTTGGTTGAGGAGTATATTGCTTGCTTTAACATCCCTATGAATGATGTGGGGGATGAATCCATGGTGAAGAAACGCCAATCCACGAGCTGCGCCTGAAGCGACTTTAAATCGAGTCTCCCAGTTAAGGACTTCGAGGGTACCGATTCGGTTTCTTAGCCAAAGATCCAAGCTACCATTCACCATATATTCATAGACTAGGAGCTTCTCCTCCCCAAGAGAACAGTAGCCAAGTAGTGGTACAAGATTATTGTGCTTCACTTTGCCTATGGTTTCCATTTCAGCTATAAATTCTCTGTGCCCCTGTGTTTTTGCTTCGCTTAGTTTCTTCACGGCAACAATTTTTCCATCAGGTAATGTGGCCTTGTACACTGTCCCGAATCCTCCATCTCCAATGATGTTTGTTTTACAGAAGTTATTGGTTGCTTCGAGAATATCAGCCAAAGTTAATTTCAGAAGGGGTTGCTCGAACGTGGCTACATTGATGCTTAAAGGCTCTCTCGATCTGCTGCTGCTGCTTAAGAAATAGAGATTAGGGTCTATGAAACATTTTAATTTTCTTTCCTCCATTTCCTCTGGATCGTTCTCTCTCTGGCTTCGAATGATCCATCTCCGCATGGCGAATGTGATAGTTAGAACAATAAGAACACTAACAATGATGATCCCAGCAACGCTCCAAGCATTCAATGCTGCTGATCTCTCCAAGATTTTGATCCGGCAATTCAAACCCATGATTCTTCCACAAAGGCCCTTGTTACCCACAAGTGAACTTCTGGATAGATTCTGGCAAATGCCACTGCTCGGAATTGGCCCTTCCAGACTGTTGTCTGCCATATTCAGGTAAACCATATTGACAAGGCTGCATATTTTCTCTGGAATTTCTCCTGAGAGCTTGTTATTTGAAACATCTAAGTATTCAAGTTGCATAAGATCCCCAAAATCTGAAGGGATTTGCCCTGTGAACTTATTTCCATGAAGATCCAACGTTGTCAAGTATGAAAGGTTGCCCAATGTTCGTGGAAGGACACCCTCAAAATAGTTATTACTCAAATTCAAAGTTTCAATCTTCCATGTCATGGAACTTGGGAAAAGTTCAACAACCTGACCAGAAAGCTTGTTCTCCTGTACATACAGCCCGACAAGATTCAACATGTTGGACAGAGAAGAAGGAAGATCACCATCCAACTCATTAGAACTTAAATCCAAATGAGTTAGAGCTTTCAGATCACCAACAGTTCTTGGAATTGAACCAGATAATTTATTTCCAGTCAAGTTCAACTTTACCAAGCTACTCAAATGACTGAAGCTTTCGGGGATTGTACCCACCAGGTGATTATTCCATAGATACAGGCCTTGGAGCTTGAGAGCATTGCCGATCTCTGTGGGAATAGGACCAGTAAGCATATTGCTAGACAAATCCAAGGTTGTCAGGTTCGTTAAGTGAGAGAGAGATCTAGGAATCTCTCCAGAAAGTAGATTATTATTCAGCAAAAGATCAACTACAACAACACAATTCCCCAGTTCGTCAGGTATGGTACCAGACAATCTATTATGAGACAGATCGAAAACACCATGATGCTGAACAAAGCTCAAATCAGGAATAGTAACCTGTCGAAAATAAGCAGAGGGCTTGGAAGGTATGGCTCCAGATAACATGTTGCGTGACAGAACTAGACACTGTAATTCAGTAAGGTTAGCAAGTCTTTCAGGAATCAACCCATTTAGACTATTGTTTCCAAGGTCCAACGTGGTAAGTGAAGTGCAATCTGCAAGCATGGCAGGAATAGTTCCTTCAAGCAGATTGGAATTCAAATTTAGAACTGAAAGAGCTGTGAGATTTCCAATCTCATGTGGTATACCGCCTGTCAACCTATTGCTGCTGAGAACAAGCCTCTCAAGTGAAGCTGCATAGCCAATTTCTGAAGGGAGATGACCCTCCAACAGGTTATTTGCGGCAGAAAACTCCATCAAATCCACTGAGTTCCATATATTTCTAGGTAAAGAACCGGTAAAATTATTAGAGTCAAGGTTGATTACCATTAAGGAAAGGTTTGAGAAGTACTCTGGTATTGCCCCAACAATCTGATTGTCTACCAAAACCAGCTGCGTAAGGTTTCTACACAGCACAAATGTATCATCAATCGTACCCGAGAGGAAATTGCTGTCAAGATCAATCTCCATCAAGGATGCAGCATTACAAATTTCTTTAGGTATTGGACCTGTCAACAAGTTATTGCTCAAACTCAGGTGATTAAGCATCGAGCAATTTCCAATCTCAGGAGGGATTTCCCCCATGAGATGATTACTCGAGAGTAAAATAGAATCAACATGATCCCATTTGCCAAGCCAGGAAGGTAATGGCCCAGAAAGCTGATTCTTCTCAGCAGAAAATGTCAACATGGGAAGCTCTGAAAGCTCTTGTGGTAACACCCCAGATAGAAAGTTGAATGAAAGCATCAATGTTTTCAAATTTCTGCACCTCCCGAGCTCAGCAGGAATAGAACCATTAAGCTGAGTGTAAACCAGATTCAATATAGTTAAGTTCTGTAACTCACCAATCGATCTCGGGATATAACACCCAAGTGGGTTGTATGAAAGGTCCAGTTTGCTCAATGATTTCAACTTGGATAGTTCGTCAGGTAATGGACCAGTTAAAGAACAAGAAGGCGAAAAAAAGTTCTCCAGCAATACAAGGTTGCCAACTTCAGGAGGCAACTCACCGGAAAAGTGGTTAATGCCGATATAAAGATCAGTCAAATGCTGTAGGTTTCCAATTTCAGGTGGGATTGAACCCGAAAACGAATTGTTTGAAATGTCCAGAGACGTTAAAGATTTAAGGTCAGTAAAGATAGTCAATGGGAGTGAACCTGATAAAAGATTGTTACCGAGGTCCAATGATAGAATCCCCGTCAGGTTTCCGATGTGGGGCGGGACATTTCCGACGAAGGCATTGCTGGAGAGGTCAAGGGTCCGTAGCAGCTTCAAATTTCCAATCTCCGGCGGGATTTTACCTGTGAATAAATTAGTCCCCAACTTGAGATTCTCCAACTGAGACAACTCGGTGAGCTCGATTGGGAAATCACCGGAAAAATGATTATCGCCGAGAGCGAGCACCTTCAAGCTCCGAAGATTGGATATCTGAGGTGGGATTGAGCCATAGAGAAAGTTGTTTGAAAGGTCAAGAACAGAGAGACTCGAAATGTTGAAAAGCGACTGAGAGAGTCGGCCTTTGAGCGAAAGAGATGAAAGAGAGAGCTCTGTAACTCGACCGAGCCGGCAAGAAACTCCAGTCCAAAAGCAGTGAGGATGTGATGAGTTCCATGGCAGAATTTCGGAGGTTTCTAGCGAAGCTTTGAAAGAAATCAAGCTTTCTCTGTCGATAATAATCTCATTCTGGTCTATAATACCATTGGAGCTCAAAATGCAGAGCTCGAAGTAGACGATGAAAATGAGAAGGAAGCGTGTCAACTCCATACCCATATGAAATATTCTGATATCTCAATATTTCAAACCACGACTGCAAAAAAAATGAAGATGGGCAACCTTAACTTCCATGGCTGTTGCAGAGAGAGATGAAACGAAGGGGAAGAAGAAGAAGAAGAAGGTTACGCGCCATAGCTATAACGCAGCATTGAAAGGACTATGGCAAAAGAAGGTTGGTCAGAGAGGAGGCGCAGCTCACATGACTTGAAGGATGGTATGGCAACGGCAATTCTGTTTTTCTTCTACTTTAGGCCCTCCCAATTCCCTGATATTACTTTTGGGTATTTATTTTGAAGTCCTCCAAGTCCTCAAGAAATTTGAAAAGGGGTCCCTCATAACACTAGACCAAGTCATAAATTCAAGGTTTTGTGGAAGACAAACAAAACAAAGCTGTGTATTGGGGGATTAAAAAAGCAGTCTTTTTGTCACTTCCATTCCCTTTTCTTTGTTCTTTATTCATATTTTGATAAAAGTAATGGTTTTTAGGGTTATGGAATAGGGAATAGAGAATAAAAATGAAAGCTTTTTAGGGTTTGTGGGTTTTGCAAATGCTCCCACCATTGTTGGCTGTGATTTCAACCCTCTAAATACCTTATTCCTATATGCATTTATTCCAATCTTTTTTGTTAAATTATTGTGGAAAGAATCAAAATTGGTCAAAAGGGTAGAGAGTGACAATTATTTTGTCAGCTATAGACTTGTGTCTGTAAGTTTTAGGGTTTGGATACTTTTTTTATTAGGTCACAAATACCCCAAAAGGAGGGCTCAATTGTGTGCATATCAGCATATATAATGCATGGGAGAGGTAGAAATCGAACAAAACATTGTCCTTTTATCTTTCGGTACAAAACAACGAAAGAAGTCTTGACACGAGTTTCAAATACAATTTCGGTTCCACTCGAGCTATAAGAACTTTCTAACAAAAGTACATGGTTCATACTCTATTTCGTAATCTTTTTAGACATGCTTCTTATTTTGTACTGTTCTCATTTGTCATAATAATTTACAAATAAATTACTACTAACGTTAAAATTTCTACTGGTTTTTAGCTTTACACTTTTTTACACTTTTTGAGGGAGATGGTTCTATGGTTAGGCATTGGGCTCTATCTAGCTCTTGTCCTAGGCTATTTCATTTTTTTAAACGACTAACTACTTTAGTTGTACTCCAACCCCACCTACAAACGTGAAGTTTGCTGAAATTAAACTTTGAAATTAAAAATTCTAGGGTCGTGGTTTGAAAATGTAATGTAGATTTGAACGGGAAGTAGTCGTAGAACAAGTTGATAATAATGAAAGTATATCAGTATTAGATCCAAACACCAATCCTAATACGTAAACTATTTGATGCAATCTCATGTTTAAAACAACCATAGTAACTAATCTGATGTTAGAATCTTTCGATGGTACGATATTGCCAATTTGAACATAAGCTCTTATGACTTTGTTTTGGGCTTTCCAAAAAAGGTCTCATAACAATGTACATGTATTCGTTTACTTCTAGACCCATAATCATTCTCTAAATTAGCCTTCCCAATAATCCTCCCCTCGAGTAAGTACCCTTCAACAATGTACAACATATAGTCCTGAGGTATAATCCTTCCTTAAATTAGCAAATGTGGGACTCTCTCCCAACCGCAGATAGAGGATAGAAGCTTATCAATAGTAGAGGTCTGACGCTTATAAATTCAATAGTTCTTCAGTGTAAACTCATATTGGCATCCCAATAATTTAAAAGGGCCAGAAACCTCATATATTTTGAGGTTACGAAATTGGATTGAAAAGAAGATCTAAAATAGAAAACTAAAAAGAAGACGGATGGGATTCATTTGGGCTTTTTCATCTCACCGACCAAACATTATTATTATGAACAGTTGTAGTGATTTTCCCGAGAAAATCCGAGAGAAAAAAGAAAATCACGTAAAAATCTTGGGTCATCGCTGAAACTTGATGATTTTCAGAGAACCCCCATGCATGTCATTAATACTGATGAACACAGCAAAAGAAAAAGGGTGAGAGAGAGCTTGTTGTCGCTCATAACATGATAGAGATTTTCCGGGAAAAAGAAACAGAGAAAGAGAAAAAAAATGTATAAAGAAAAAGTTAATTGTTTTAAAGGGTGGAGAGTGGCAGGGCCAGCAGTGGCAATTAGAGAGCATTTCAGGAAACATGCAGAGCACAAGTGCAGTCTGATAGGAAGAGATTTGTGAACAGAGCAAAAAACAGAGCATTGATCATTGAAAGGGAAAGGGGGAAATTTAAGAGAGGGCAGGAAAAGGGTATTGAAGTATTGGGATTTTGGGAGGGATATCATTGTGATTGTGAAAGGACGTTGCGTAAGTGAAGCAAAAGTTGAAGTTATGTGTTGTTCTCAGGTTTCTCATCTTTCCATGGCTGCCATTGCCATCCCCTTCGCATACTCTACACACTTCTCTGTACTGCTAAGTATGGTTCTGAAATTTGATGGGACAGACAACACTGGTAGTAGTTGGGATTGGGAACTTGTATTATTAAAGAGTCAGGTATCTTTTACCATATAAACTTATTAAACAAATTAAAGGCGCATGAAAGAACGAAAAATATGATGGTACGACTTGTGTTTGTCTGTGAGGATAAGTCTTCGCACGAGTAATGTGACTAGAGCCATTTGGATTTCATCGTTACAATTATACCATACGACTATATGAAATGACTTTTTCGATGTTTTGTTCGCTCTATTTCGGGTTCAAATTTGATGGGTGTGTTTGGTAATTTTTTGAGTGTAGAGGGTAATTTTAGAAAAAATAAAAATCAATAACTTTGAGTAGTTCATCATGTTAAAATGAAAGGTGAGAAAAAGGGAAAAAGAAAAAGTCAAACTTTGACTTCATCTATATGGGCCTTGGATTTTGGGCTTTTCAGTGCTATGAGATGGGGGCCCAATAGATATCCACATCACCACTTCAGAAAATAAAAGCCCATCATTACTTGATTGGACCCAAAGACTGATCTTAATTTGACAAGTCCACTATCAGCATACGGGCCCATGCAACTCGGCCCATCAACTGGGCCCACTCGTTAGATATATATTCTTTTAAGAAGAATAAATATCTCTCATCTTTTGTTGAAGGCGCGTGTAATAAAAAGTGACATACATATTCAAATATTTCAAGGTATTATTAATAATAACGCTAACTTCAACTTAACTTAACTACTCGATAAAGTATCATATGGTTAAAAACGTCAAATGTTTGAATCTCAATGGATATATATTTTTGAACTAAAAACATAACAACATTTTAAAAAATATATATATATATTATTATTCAATGGTTGTGTTTATTTCAAACTTAAAATCACTTGTAAAAATTATTCGATAGAGTTGCGATTTGTTTGTTTGACTATTCGTACTAAGATATTGAGATGCTTGAAAACAAAGTTTACCTGAATAATTTGACACTATGCATATATATATATTATTTATGTTACTTTATTTTATTTTATTAAATTTTTTATTCACCGTCTTATTTGTCATGATTACATTAATTGAATTTACAATAAAAAATGGAATTTACAATAAAAAAACACTACCAAGGAAAATGATAAAAGTGTAAGTATTTGTTTTTTAAATTAAGCATTTATTAGAAACGATCTACAGCCAAACAATTATTTTTCGAATAAATAATGGTTAAAGAAATTTAGTGTATTGAATCTTTCAAATCAATCACAACTCTCATTTTGACGCATGATAATTGTGTAACGGGTTGAAATTCATTTTGATTAAGATTGACGTAAAAAAAGATGAAAAAGCATCTTAGGATAATGATAATTGATATATCTTAAAAGAATAAATTATGAAATATTTAAATTTTCAATTTTTTATCTATAATGTTTTAAAATTAAATTAAAAAAATATGATAATAATTCTACGATTAAATAGATAAAAGCAAGTAATTTTAGGATGAGCCTGCCACTTCTAAAAAAAAAAAAAAAAAAAAAAAAAAATC